GGACACACTCCGCGCCAGGTACGTCCATCATATACACACCATCGTAACCTCCTGATGACCGTCACACGGGACACACTCCGCACCAGGTACGTCCATCATATACACACCATCGTAACCTCCTGTTTATGAGAAAGAGCTGTGAAAAGAAGTCTGACGGATCCCAAAATTTTGCATGTTTTTACTGTGTCCTAGGTTGAACTGGACACACTCGCGCCAGGTACGTCCATCATATACACACCATCGTTACCTCCTGATGACCGTCACACGGGACACACTCCGCGCCATGACCGTCACACTGGACACACTTAGCGCCAGGTACGTCCATCATATACACACCATCCTAACCTCCTGATGACGGTCACACGGGACACACTCCGCGCCAGGTACGTCCATCATATACACACCATCCTAACCTCCTGATGACCGTCACACGGGACAGACTCCGCGCCAGGTACGTCCGTCATATACACACCATCGAAACCTCCTGATGACGGTCACACTGGACACACTCCACGCCAGGTACGTCCATCATATACACACCATCCTAACCTCCTGATGACCGTCACACGGGACAGACTCCGCGTCAGGTACGTCCATCATATACACACCATCGAAACCTAATGATGACGGTCACACTGGACACACTCCACGACAGGTACGTCCATCATATACACACCATCCTAACCTCCTGATGACCGTCACACGGGACACACTCCGCGCCAGGTACGTCCAACATATACACACCATCCTAACCTCCTGATGACCGTCACACTGGACACACTCCGCGCCAGGTACGTCCATCATATACACACCATCCTAACCTCCTGATGACCGTCACACGGGACACACTCCGCACCAGGTACGTCCATCATATACACACCATCGTAACCTCCTGATGACCGTCCCACGGGACACACTCCGCACCAGGTACGTCCATCATATACACACCATCCTAACCTCCTGATGACCGTCACACGGGACACACTCCGCGCCAGGTACGTCCATCATATACACACCATCGTAACCTCCTGATGACCGTCACACGGGACACACTCCGCACCAGGTACGTCCATCATATACACACCATCCTAACCTCCTGATGACCGTCACGCTGGACACACTCTCCGCGCCAGGTACGTCCATCATATACACACCATCCTAACCTCCTGATGACCGTCACGCTGGACACACTCCGCGCCAGGTACGTCCATCATATACACACCATCCTAACCTCCTGATGACGGTCACACTGGACACACTCCGCACCAGGTACGTCCATCATATACACACCATCGTTACCTCCTGATGACCGTCACACGGGACACACTTAGCGCCAGGTACGTCCATCATATACACACCATCCTAACCTCCTGATGACCGTCACACGGCAGAGTCCGCGCCAGGTACGTCCATCATATACACACCATCCTAACCTCCTGATGACCGTCACACGGCACACTCCGCGCCAGGTACGTCCATCATATACACACCATCCTAACCTCCTGATGACCGTCACACGGCACACTCCGCGCCAGGTACGTCCATCATATACACACCATCGTAACCTCCTGATAACCGTCACACGGGACACACTCCGCGCCAGGTACGTCCATCATATACACACCATCCTAACCTCCTGATGACCGTCACACGGGACACACTCCGCGCCAGGTACGTCCATCATATACACACCATCGTAACCTCCTGATGACCGTCACACTGGACACACTCCGCGCCAGGTACGTCCATCATATACACACCATCCTAACCTCCTGATGACCGTCACACGCACACTCCGCGTCAGGTACGTCCATCATATACACACCATCCTAACCTCCTGATGACCGTCACACGGGACACACTCCGCGCCAGGTACGTCCATCATATACACACCATCGTTACCTCCTGATGACCGTCACACGGGACACACTTAGCGCCAGGTACGTCCATCATATACACACCATCCTAACCTCCTGATGACCGTCACACGGCAGACTCCGCACCAGGTACGTCCATCATATACACACCATCCTAACCTCCTGATGACCGTCACACGGCACACTCCGCGCCAGGTACGTCCATCATATACACACCATCCTAACCTCCTGATGACCGTCACACGGCACACTCCGCGCCAGGTACGTCCATCATATACACACCATCCTAACCTCCTGATGACCGTCACACGGACACACTCCGCGCCAGGTACGTCCATCATATACACACCATCGTTACCTCCTGATGACCGTCACACGGGACACACTCCGCGCCAGGTACGTCCATCATATACACACCATCCTAACCTCCTGATGACCCCACACGCACACTCCGCGCCAGGTACGTCCATCATATACACACCATCGTAACCTCCTGATGACCGTCACACTGGACACACTCCGCGCCAGGTACGTCCATCATATACACACCATCGTAACCTCCTGATGACCGTCACACGGGACACACTCCGCACCAGGTACGTCCATCATATACACACCATCGTAACCTCCTGTTTATGAGAAAGAGCTGTGAAAAGAAGTCTGACGGATCCCAAAATTTTGCATGTTTTTACTGTGTCCTAGGTTGAACTGGACACACTCCGCGCCAGGTACGTCCATCATATACACACCATCGTTACCTCCTGATGACCGTCACACGGGACACACTCCGCGCCATGACCGTCACACTGGACACACTTAGCGCCAGGTACGTCCATCATATACACACCATCCTAACCTCCTGATGACGGTCACACGGGACACACTCCGCGCCAGGTACGTCCATCATATACACACCATCCTAACCTCCTGATGACCGTCACACGGGACAGACTCCGCGCCAGGTACGTCCATCATATACACACAATCGTTACCTCCTGATGACCGTCACACGGGACACACTCCGCACCAGGTACGTCCATCATATACACACCATCCTAACATCCTGATGACCGTCACACGGGACACAATCCGCGCCAGGTACGTCCATCATATACACACCATCGTTACCTCCTGATGACCGTCACACGGGACACACTCCGCGCCAGGTACGTCCATCATATACACACCATCGTAACCTCCTGATGACCGTCACACGGCACACACTCCGCACCAGGTACGTCCATCATATACACACCATTGTAACCTCCTGTTTATGAGAAAGAGCTGTGAAAAGAAGTCTGACGGATCCCACAATTTTGCATGTTTTTACTGTGTCCTAGGTTGAAATGGACACACTCCGCGCCAGGTACGTCCATCATATACACACCATCGTTACCTCCTGATGACCGTCACACGGGACACACTCCGCGCCAGGTACGTCCATCATATACACACCATCGTAACCTCCTGATGACCGTCACACGGGACACACTCCGCGCCAGGTACGTCCATCATATACACACCATCGTAACCTCCTGATGACCGTCACACGGGACACACTCCGCACCAGGTACGTCCATCATATACACACCATCCTAACCTCCTGATGACCGTCACACTGGACACACTCCGCGCCAGGTACGTCCATCATATACACACCATCCTAACCTCCTGATGACCGTCACACGGGACACACTCCGCGCCAGGTACGTCCATCATATACACACCATCCTAACCTCCTGATGACCCTCACACGCACACTCCGCGCCAGGAACGTCCATCAAATACACACCATCCTAACCTCCTGATGACCGTCACACTGGACACACTCCGCGCCGGGTACGTCCATCAAATACACACCATCCTAACCTCCTGATGACCGTCACACGGGACACACTCCGCGCCAGGTACGTCCATCATATACACACCATCCTAACCTCCTGATGACCGTCACACGGGACACACTCCGCGCCAGGTACGTCCATCATATACACACCATCCTAACCTCCTGATGACCCTCACACGCACACTCCGCGCCAGGTACGTCCATCAAATACACACCATCCTAACCTCCTGATGACCGTCACACTGGACACACTCCGCGCCAGGTACGTCCATCAAATACACACCATCCTAACCTCCTGATGACCGTCACACTGACACACTCCGCGCCAGGTACGTCCATCATATACACACCATCCTAACCTCCTGATGACCGTCACACGGGACACACTCCGCGCCAGGTACGTCCATCATATACACACCATCCTAACCTCCTGATGACCCTCACACGCACACTCCGCGCCAGGTACGTCCATCAAATACACACCATCCTAACCTCCTGATGACCGTCACACTGGACACACTCCGCGCCAGGTACGTCCATCAAATACACACCATCCTAACCTCCTGATGACCGTCACACTGGACACACTCCGCGCCAGGTACGTCCATCATATACACACCATCCTAACCTCCTGATGACCGTCACACGGGACACACTCCGCGCCAGGTACGTCCATCATATACACACCATCCTAACCTCCTGATGACCCTCACACGCACACTCCGCGCCAGGTACGTCCATCAAATACACACCATCCTAACCTCCTGATGACCGTCACACTGGACACACTCCGCGCCAGGTACGTCCATCAAATACACACCACCATATAACATGAATGTTAGGCACATGTTTCAAAGAGGAAATAAGCCTTGTTTGGTCTTTTCTGTAGTACAGAAGCTCTTGTATTTTAACAGTATTTATCTACTATCAAAGTAGTTCAAATTATACATACAGTCACCTCCACAAAGAGTTGTGGAAACTATCCAATGAAGATATTCAGCACCAAACATCAACATTAGATTCTGATTTTTCTGAATTATGTCCTCGCTGTTTGTTCTTGTAAGCGCCACAATGGCGGTGACCAGTATAAAGTCTAATCTCCGCTATGCTGGAGACTGATGTCACGAGCACCTTCTGCTGACGGTTGCCATAACATCAAACTGACTCAGAGTCTGACCACCGAATAAAGCCAGTCGACATTTTGAGGGACAGATAAATTTAACAGATGGAACACATCAAACTACGAATTAAAAACACTTGTTTCTTGTCTTTTCAAGGCCAATACCTGATGGCTTTAAGATAACTTCCATCAAACCAGAACAAGCATCAGTTGTCAACTCTTTGTGGAAATATAATGACGGTAAACACTCGGAAATCTACATTGAAGACATTATCGGGAAACTACCGTCGTGCTGTCTGTATGATGCTGATGGCAACATGGTGGGCTTCGCTCTCAACTATCACTATGGCGCTATAGGCATGCTGCATGTTCTACCGGAACACCGGGGAAAGGGGTATGCCAAGATGATCATGTCCCACCTCGCCAGGTTGTGTCTACAGCAGTGTGAGGAGGTCTTTGTTCTCCCCGAGGAGGAGAATGAAGTATCAATCAAGCTTCAAGAGGACATTGGATTCAAACAGGTGCCCGACTCAAAACGTTTTGCGTTGGTGGTTGAATGAGGGAGGTGAGCTGCAAGATACATTTGGAAAACCCTAGTTTACTTAACGTATAACAACCTCGAAAACAGACAAGCTAAATCTACATCCAGTCTTTAAGAAGATTTGCAGGTGAGAGCAAACAACCAGTAATATGGCAGTAGTATCTGTGAATTGTATATGGTGGGAGCAAACAACCAGTAGTATGGCAATAGTATCTGTGAATTGTATATGGTGGGAGCAAACAACCAGTAATATGGCAATAGTATCTGTGAAATGTATATGGTGGGAGCAAACAACCAGTAATATGGCAGTAGTATCTGCGAATTGTATATGGCGGGAGCAAACAACCAGTAACATGGCAATAGTATCTGTGAATTGTATATGGCGGGAGCAAACAACCAGTAACATGGCAATAGTATCTGTGAATTGTATATGGTGGGAGCAAACAACCAGTAGTATGGCAGTAGTATCTGTGAATTGTATATGGTGGGAGCAAACAACCAGTAATATGGCGATAGTATCTGTGAATTGTATATGGTGGGAGCAAACAACCAGTAATATGGCAATAGTATCTGTGAATTGTATATGGCGGGAGCAAACAACCAGTAATATGGCAGTAGTATCTGTGAATTGTATATGGCGGGAGCAAACAACCAGTAATATGGCAGTAGTATCTGTGAATTGTATATGGTGGGAGCAAACAACCAGTAGTATGGCAATAGTATCTGTGAATTGTATATGGTGGGAGCAAACAACCAGTAATATGGCGATAGTATCTGTGAATTGTATATGGTGGGAGCAAACAACCAGTCATATGGCAATAGTATCTGGGAATTGTATATGGTGGGAGCAAACAACCAGTAATATGGCGATAGTATCTGTGAATTGTATATGGTGGGAGCAAACAACCAGTAGTATGGCAGTAGTATCTGTGAATTGTATATGGTGGGAGCAAACAACCAGTAGTATGGCAGTAGTATCTGTGAATTGTAAATTATGGGAGCAAACAACCAGTAGTATGGCAGTAGTATCTGTGAATTGTATATGGCGGGAGCAAACAACCAGTAATATGGCAGTAGTATCTGTGAATTGTATATGGTGGGAGCAAACAACCAGTAATATGGCAATAGTATCTGTGAATTGTATATGGTGGGAGCAAACAACCAGTAATATGGCAGTAGTATCTGTGAATTGTATATGGTGGGAGCAAACAACCAGTAGTATGGCAATAGTATCTGTGAATTGTATATGGTGGGAGCAAACAACCAGTAATATGGCAGTAGTATCTGCGAATTGTATATGGTGGGAGCAAACAACCAGTCATATGGCAATAGTATCTGGGAATTGTATATGGTGGGAGCAAACAACCAGTAATATGGCGATAGTATCTGTGAATTGTATATGGTGGGAGCAAACAACCAGTAGTATGGCAGTAGTATCTGTGAATTGTAAATTATGGGAGCAAACAACCAGTAGTATGGCAGTAGTATCTGTGAATTGTATATGGTGGGAGCAAACAACCAGTAATATGGCAGTAGTATCTGTGAATTGTATATGGTGGGAGCAAACAACCAGTCATATGGCAATAGTATCTGCGAATTGTATATGGTGAGAGCAAACAACCAGTAGTATGGCAGTAGTATCTGTGAATTGTATATGGTGGGAGCAAACAACCAGTAGTATGGCAATAGTATCTGTGAATTGTATATGGTGGGAGCAAACAACCAGTAATATGGCAGTAGTATCTGTGAATTGTATATGGTGAGAGCAAACAACCAGAAGTACGGCAGTAGTATCTGCGAATTGTATATGGTGGGAGCAAACAACCAGTAATATGGCAGTAGTATCTGTGTGAATTGTATATGGTGGGAGCAAACAACCAGTAGTAGTATGGCAATAGTATCTGTGAATTGTATATGGTGGGAGCAAACAACCAGTAATATGGCAGTAGTATCTGTGAATTGTATATGGTGAGAGCAAACAACCAGAAGTATGGCAGTAGTATCTGCGAATTGTATATGGTGGGAGCAAACAACCAGTAGTATGGCAGTAGTATCTGTGAATTGTAAATTATGGGAGCAAACAACCAGTAGTATGGCAGTAGTATCTGTGAATTGTATATGGTGGGAGCAAACAACCAGTAATATGGCAGTAGTATCTGTGAATTGTATATGGTGGGAGCAAACAACCAGTCATATGGCAATAGTATCTGCGAATTGTATATGGTGAGAGCAAACAACCAGTAGTATGGCAGTAGTATCTGTGAATTGTATATGGTGGGAGCAAACAACCAGTAGTATGGCAATAGTATCTGTGAATTGTATATGGTGGGAGCAAACAACCAGTAATATGGCAGTAGTATCTGTGAATTGTATATGGTGGGAGCAAACAACCAGTGATATGGCGATAGTATCTGTGAATTGTATATGGTGGGAGCAAACAACCAGTGATATGGCGATAGTATCTGTGAATTGTATATGGTGGGAGCAAACAACCAGTAATATGGCAATAGTATCTGTGAGTTGTATATGGTGGGAGACAAACAACCAGTAATATGTAGTAGTATCTGTGAATTGTATATGGTGGAGCAAACAACCAGTAGTATATGAATTGTGTGGTATCTGTGAGATTGTATATGGTGGGAGCAAACAAGCAGTAATATGGCGATAGTATCTGTGAATTGTATATGGTGGGAGCAAACAACCAGTAATATGGCGATAGTATCTGTGAATTGTATATGGTGGGAGCAAACAACCAGTAATATGGCAGTAGTATCTGTGAATGGGAGCAAACAACCCTGTATATGGTGGGAACAAACAACCAGTAGTATGGCAGTAGTATCTGTGAATTGTATATGGTGGGAGCAAACAACCAGCACCAGTAGTATGGCAACATGGTGGAGCAAACAACCAGTGGCAGCATCCATGTATCTGTAGATTGTATATGGTGGGAGCAAACAACCAGTAATATGGCGATAGTATCTGTGAATTGTGTATATGGTGGGAGACAAACAATAGTAATATGGCAGGATAGTATCTGTGGCCCAGGTATGGTAGTATCTGGAACAGCAAACAACCAGTAATATGGCAGTAGTATCTGTGGAATTGTATGGTGGCCCAGGAACAAACAACCAGTAGCACCCAGGCAGGTGAATAGTGGCCCAGGAAACAACCAGTAGTATGGCAGTAGTATCTGTGGAATGGTATATGGTGGGAACAAACAACCAGTAATATGGCGATAGTATCTGTGAATTGTATATGGTGAAACAAACAACCAGTAGTATGGCAATAGTATCTGTGAATTGTATATGGTGGGAGCAAACAACCAGTCAGTATGGCAGTAGTATCAGAATATCTGTGGACCCATATGACCAGGACCATTGGCATGTGAATGGACCAGGAAACATGGCCAGTATCTGTGAGGGAGGCAAACAGCTGTGAATTGTATATGGTGGGAGCAAACAACCATGGACCAATAGTAGTATCTGTGGTATTGTATATGGTGGAGCAAACAACCAGTGGTATGGCAGTAGTATCTGTGAATTGTATGTATGGTGGGAAACAGTATGGCAGTAGGTATCTGTGAATCAACCCAGGTGGACAAACAACCAACCAGTATGGCTGTGAAGTATCTGTGAATTGTATATGGTGGGGCAAACAACCAGTAGTATGGCAGTAGTATCTGTGAATTGTATATGGTGGAGAGCAAACAACCAGTAATATGGCAAGGAGCAAACAACCAGTAGTATCTGTGAATTGTATATGGTGGGAGCAAACAACCAGTAATATGGCAGTAGTATCTGTGAATTGTATATGGTGGGAACAAACAACCAGCCAGTAATATGTAAGTATCTGTGAATTGTATATGGTGGGAGCAAACAACCAGTAGTATGTGAATAGTATCTGTGAAATGAAGTGTATATGGTGGGAGCAAACAACCAGTATGGTATGGCAATAGTATCTGTGAATTGTATATGAACAACAAACCAGTAGTATGGCACAAGTACTGTGAATTGTGTACCCAGTAACAACCTGCAAACAACCAGTGGTATGGTGTGGAGTATCTGTGAATTGTAATATGGTGGACCAAGCAAACAGCAAACCCAGTATGGCAGTATCTGTGACCATATGGTATCTGTGAATGTGATCTATGGTGGGAGCAAACAACCAGTAGTATGGCAGTAGTATCTGTGAATTGTATATTATGGGGCAAACAACCAGTAGTATGGCAGTAGTATCAATGAATTGTATGGTGTATGGGAGCAAACAAGGAAGGTATATGGCAGTAGTATCTGTGAATTGTGTATATGGTGGGAGCAAACAACCAGTAATATGGCAGTAGTATCTGTGAATTGTATATGGTGGAGCAAACAACCAGTAGTATGGCAGATAGTATCTGTGGTGTATATGGTGGGAGCAAACAACTGGTGGAGTAGTATGGACAACCAATAGTATCTGTGAATTGTATATGGTGGAGCAAACAACCAGTGTAGTATGGCATTAGTATCTGTGAATTGTATATGGTGGGAGCAAACATGGTGTATCTGTGAAATTGTAGTATGTGAGCAAACAACCAGTAGTATCATGTAGAATTGAATCATGTATATGGAGCAAACAACCAGTAATATAGCAGTAGTATCTGTGAATTGTATATGGTGGGAGCAAACAACCAGTAGTATGGCAGTAGTATCTGTGAATTGTATATGGTGAGGAGCAAACAAATGATAGTATGGCAGTAGTATCTGTGAATTGTATATGGTGGGAGCAAACAACCAGTAGTATGGTAATAGTATCTGTGAATTGTATATGGTGGGAGCAAACAACCAGTAATATGGCAGTAGTATCTGTGAATTGTATATGGTGGAACAAACAATGAACCAGTATGGCAGTAGTATCTGCGAATTGTATATGGTGGGAGCAAACAACCAGTAGTATGGCAGTAGTATCTGTGAATTGTATATGGTGGAGCAAACAACCAGTAATATGGCAGCATCTGTGGAATGTATAGGTGAATTGTATATGGTGGGAGCAAACAACCAGTAATATGGCAGTAGTATCTGTGAATTGTATATGGTGGGAGCAAACAACCAGTAGTATGGCAGTAGTATCTGTGAATTGTATATGGTGGGAGCAAACAACCAGTAATATGGCAATAGTATCTGTGTGTATATGGTGTATATGGTGGTATATGGTGGTGGGAATTGTAAACAACCAGTAATATGGCGATAGTATCTGTGAATT